ATGGAGGTGGAACAAGTCCAGGTGGCACTAACCCATGGGATGGAGGTGGAACCAACCCATGGGATGGAGGTGGAACCAACCCATGGGATGGAGGTGGAACCAACCCATGGGATGGAGGTGGAACCAACCCATGGGATGGAGGTGGAACCAACCCATGGGATGGAGGTGGAACCAACCCATGGGATGGAGGTGGAACCAACCCATGGGATGGAGGTGGAACCAACCCATGGGATGGAGGTGGAACCAACCCATGGGATGGAGGTGGAACCAACCCATGGGATGGAGGTGGAACCAACCCATGGGATGGAGGTGGAACCAACCCATGGGATGGAGGTGGAACCAACCCATGGGATGGAGGTGGAACCAACCCATGGGATGGAGGTGGAACCAACCCATGGGATGGAGGTGGAACCAACCCATGGGATGGAGGTGGAACCAACCCATGGGATGGAGGTGGAACCAACCCATGGGATGGAGGTGGAACCAACCCATGGGATGGAGGTGGAACCAACCCATGGGATGGAGGTGGAACCAACCCATGGGATGGAGGTGGAACCAACCCATGGGATGGAGGTGGAACCAACCCATGGGATGGAGGTGGAACCAACCCATGGGATGGAGGTGGAACCAACCCATGGGATGGAGGTGGAACCAACCCATGGGATGGAGGTGGAACCAACCCATGGGATGGAGGTGGAACCAACCCATGGGATGGAGGTGGAACCAACCCATGGGATGGAGGTGGAACCAACCCATGGGATGGAGGTGGAACCAACCCATGGGATGGAGGTGGAACCAACCCATGGGATGGAGGTGGAACCAACCCATGGGATGGAGGTGGAACCAACCCATGGGATGGAGGTGGAACCAACCCATGGGATGGAGGTGGAACCAACCCATGGGATGGAGGTGGAACCAACCCATGGGATGGAGGTGGAACCAACCCATGGGATGGAGGTGGAACCAACCCATGGGATGGAGGTGGAACCAACCCATGGGATGGAGGTGGAACCAACCCATGGGATGGAGGTGGAACCAACCCATGGGATGGAGGTGGAACCAACCCATGGGATGGAGGTGGAACCAACCCATGGGATGGAGGTGGAACCAACCCATGGGATGGAGGTGGAACCAACCCATGGGATGGAGGTGGAACCAACCCATGGGATGGAGGTGGAACCAACCCATGGGATGGAGGTGGAACCAACCCATGGGATGGAGGTGGAACCAACCCATGGGATGGAGGTGGAACCAACCCATGGGATGGAGGTGGAACCAACCCATGGGATGGAGGTGGAACCAACCCATGGGATGGAGGTGGAACCAAGACATGGATGGAAGTGGCATCAACTCATGGGATGGAGCTGGAACCACTCCAGATGGCATCAACTCATGGGATGGAGGTGACACCAACCCATGGGATGTCCATGGATCCAAAGCTATTGAAGAAACATCAGGAGCTGGAGGTGGTGGTGAAACCATGGAATGGGTTGGGTTGGAATCATGGAATGAGTTGGGTTGGAATGACCTTCAAGACCATCCAGGAGAACTCTTGGCCAAATTTCTCCCTCACTTTTCCATGAGGAGACTCAGGGACCAAATCAGCTCCAATCAATGGGTTGGGACATCATGGAATGAGTTGGGTTGGAATCATGGAATGAGTTGGGTTGGAAGAACCTTCAAGACCATCCAGGAGATCTCTTGGCTAAATTTCTCCCTCACCTTTCCATGAGAAGACTCAGGAACCAAATCAGGTCAAACCAATGGGTTGGGTTGGAATCATGGAATGAGTTGGGTTGGAAGAACCTTCAAGACCATCTAGAAGAACTCATGGCCAAATTTCTCCCTCACCTTTCCAGGAGGACACTCAAGGAATAGGGAAACACACCCAATCAACTTCCCTCAACAGAACAACTTAGCTTGGAAGAACCTTCAAACCCATCGACTTCAAACCTCCTGGAGAAGAACCACCAACTCCAACCCTCCCCCAACCTCTCCCTCCTCACCTCCAGCTCCTCCCCAACCATCTCCCCTACCTTTGGTATCATTCACCGGATCCATGTGCCGATAGATATATCCCTCCAGGTAGGAATGAAACTTGGGAGTTGGTGGGAAGAAAGCCAAGCAGATGGCCATGAGCTCCCAACCTCTGGCCAAACTCTCGTAGCGGAAGTTCTCAGTGGTTTGACGACACAACTGGATGTAAAGCTCATCCCTCAACCCTTGCATGCTCCATCCTTTGGTAGCCACCTCCAAAGCCACGTTGAGTTGATCCGTCTTGGCCCGACGGTCGCCCATGTACATCTGGATGAGTTTGAAGATCTCACAAGCTTCTTTCTTGACGTTACGATCGTTGGTCATGATCATGGGTTTCTTGATGGATTCACTGCTCCAGGCCAACATGTTGGCAATGGAGACTTTCCTCCTGAAGAGCCCTTGGGTGTGTTTGTTGAAGTGTTTGGATGCCCAGTTCTCAATGTCCGTCTCCGACGAAGGTTTGCGGAGATTGAAGGTTGGGAAGACGCAACTGGCGCTTGGCATCATGTTCCTGCTCTGTCTGCTGCTCTCAAACTGGGCACAGGCTCCCAGGTCTTCAGACTGGGGGAGGAGGAAGGGGAGAAGAGGTTAGGATTGGGTGGGGGAAGTCAATAAGAGAATCAATGGTTCAATAAGGGAATCAATCGATCAACCGATCGAGGAGTAGTCTAAGAAACCAATGGTTTACCAAGGTGATCAATAAGTTGACTGATGGACCAAGTAACCAACTAATGGTCCAAGCAACTAATGGTCCAATCAGTCAACCAACCAACCAATCAATCAATCAATCAACCAACCAAGCAATGATCCAACCAACAGTCGAAGAAACCAATGGTCTACCAAGGTGATCAATAAGTCGACTGATGGAGCAAGTAAGCAACCAATGAATCAATCAACCAACCAATGATCCAAGCAAGCAATCTATCGATCAACCAACAAATCAATCAATCAACCAACCAACAAACCAATGGTCCAAGCAAGCAATCAATGGTCAAAGCAAGAAACCAATGATCCAACCAATCAATCAACCAACTGAGAAACCAATGATCCAACAAACAATGATCCAACCAACCAATCAACCAACCAACCAATGATCCACCAAACCAATCAATCAACCAACCAAGAAACCAATGATCCAGCAAACAATGATCCAACCAACCAATCAATCAACCAACCGATAAACCAATGATCCAACCAACCAATCAATCAACTAAACAAGAAACCAATGATCCAACCAACCAATGAATCAACCAACCAATGATCCACCAAACCAATCAACCAATTAACCAACCAATGGTCCAACCAACCAATGGTCCAACCAAACAATCAATCAACAGTCCAAGAAACCAATGATCCACCAAGCCAATCAATCAATCGACTGATGGACCAAGCAACCAACCAATGATCCAACCAACCAATGCTCCAAGCATTCAACCAATCAATCAACCAACCAACCAACAATCCAAGAAACCAATCAACCAACCAATGAATCAATCAACCAATGGTCCAACCAACCAATGAACTAACCCACCAACCAACCATCCAACCAACCAACCAATGAACCAACCAACCAACCAACGAACCA